AAGGTGTTTGCTACTCCGCCTGTCTTTGATTCATTTACAAACATGATTATAATATTATCTAATTTAGTATTTCTCAACCTCGGCAATTTTAAGATGTCAGGACTTTGACTTCAACATGCTGGCTGGGGAATTCTGGGAGTTGAAGTCCAGACAACTTATAGTTGCTAAGGTTGAGAAACGCTGCTCTAACGTTTCATCCAAGTCATTTACAAACACATTGAATAGCTCAAAAGCCAAAATGGAACCTTGTGCTACCAATCCTTTTCCTTCTGAAGAAATTTGTGTACGATTATTTTGAAAGTGTTAAGTGTGTGTCTACCATGCAGGGGGATTCACATAGGATCAGGCAGTCTACAGATTTGAGTCCCAAAAGCTTCTCTGAATTATTTAGGGGCAGGATTGTAGCACATCTCTGCAACTCTTTAAAGCAGGGGTGTCAAACTCAATTTCATTGAGGGCCACATCAGCATTGTGGTTGCCCTCGGGGTGTGTGTGGCCAGGGTGGGTGTGGCCTACTGGGTGGGTGTGGATGGAGTGGGTGTGGCCTACTGGGTGGGCATGGCCAGCTCTACATTGTTCGCGTCAAGGGTGCCTGTGGGGGCCTGGGCAGGAGTGGGACAGATCTGAGGGTCTCTGGGAGAAGGTGGTGGGACCGGGGCAAGCGCCAAGGCATGGTCCATTTCTTCATTCCTCACAAAGGGTGACACCTCCCCAGCATGCACCCAAGGGGCGGGGCCAATGCGGCAGGGGCTGGTTCCTCCCTGTTTCTAGACGGCCTTGTGGAGCTAAGACTGAATGCGTTTCAGCATAGATGGCCACCACAAAATTGTACATTGGCTCCCTCCCGGCCGGCCAGGGCCAGGGGCAAGGCAGCGGGGGCCGTTCCCTCACTGTTTCCAGGATAGCTTCGCGGGCCACATGAAACCACTTCGCGGGCCGCATCCGGCCCCCGGGCCTTGTGTTTGACATGTCTGCTTTAAAGCAACTATATCCTTTCTGAGATCTGTGGTTGCTCTCTGTATCCCCTGGTAAGAAAGGTCACTGAAACAGCATTGCTTGGCCTTCTCACATTTCTACTTTCAAGCTTGGAGATGAAGCTCTGACCTTGGAGGAAGCAGCTCCACCTAAATTTGACCTTCGCTGCCCAT